AGTTTATTTTGAAAGAGTGTGGTAAGTGCTGAGGAGTTATTACTAAGTTCGACAGCACTTTTTTCCTGTTCGATTGCTTTTTGTGTACTTATTGTGTTTGTCTGGACAAGTATTTCTGTCATCGTTACTAAAGAGGAGAAGTCATTAGAGTTGTGGAAGCGAGTACAATGTCTCTGCAGATGTCTTCGTGTACCGACCGGTATAAACACATCTTTGGAAAACTTAGGTCTCCAGTACTCTAAAGGTGCGATTTTGTTCATGATACTTTCGATGTTGTGATAAAATATATTGGTTAGTGTGTCGGTATTGTTTGCAGTAAAGAATGTTCCCCAGTCAGTGCTTCTTAGGTAATTGGGAAAATTATTCCAATCTACCTTGCGATAGTTTCTACGAAGGGTTACATTTATACGTCTACCGTTTGTGTTTTTTATATTAAGGCTACATACGACAGTGTTATGATCACTACCTGGAAACTTTTTTCCAATATACACAGTATTGGGGGTGAGGCCACTGGTAAAGACTAAGTCCAAGATATTTTGATGTCTGGCAGGGCTACTAACACATTGAGTCCACTGTCCTAGTTCTAGACATTCAATAAATGATTCATAACGTTTCGGAGCTTTGACTGGAAACCAAGAAATTTCAGGCATGTTGAAGTCACCACATATGAGCTTGCCTGTGAATGGAAGGGATGATGGTAGTGTGAATACCTCTGATAATACTGCTATTTCACCTATTGCCAAGTTAGGTTGCTGGTAGATACAGCCGAACAGTAAGGTAATAGAATTTGATGGCTTTAAAACAATCCACACCGAGTCCTTCAGTTTGTTTAGTTCAGGTATATCGCATATTAGTGAGTTTAAGCTAGAGTGAGCATAAATAAGGCATCCTCCGCCTCGTCCTTTCAATCTATCGCTTCTATATAGGAGGTAGTTATCAAGAGATAAACTTAGATCGGAAATATTACTGTTAGTCCATGCTTCAGATATCATTATAAGTGATGGTTGATATATGGAAGCAAACAGAGCTAAATCAGTCTTTTTATTGCAGATCGACCTAGCGTTGATAAGACACATATTAAACAAGTGGCCTACTAAGTTAAAGTGAGTGAGAGTATCTCGATTAAAGATGTCATGAGCCTCGCGTGAGTGAAGTATGTTTGAAGTAATGAATTTAGTGTTTTTCAATAGCTCTATATTTTGATAGCTAGAGTTACTGGGGCATGTATCAAATGAGCTAGTGAAGTTGCTTGGGGAGTTTATCCAGGAGGAAAGGGTGGGAGTACTTTCTGATGCGAACTGTACGGGGGAAGCGAGTTTATGTTCCGCACTTGGTTTGAAATGACTAGGGCTATGTGCTTCAACAGGGGTGCAACTAGGGGCCTTATTCCGAAAAAATCTGGTACATGTTGACTGTAAAGTGTACTGTTATTTGCAAGACAGTTTTGATGGTTAAGCTCGTAGCCTCTGTTATAACTATTTGTGAGCAAGATGGCCGCAACACTATGTCACTACAATTTTAAATTGGTAATTTTCCACTATTTTGAATATTAATTATAATTCTTCCCCTTCATTGTGCACATACAGAGTATTAAGCTCATGTCATACACTGTGAAACTTGGCATATCTTGTATATCTTCATGCTTGTACGTATAATTTTTTCAAAATTATACCATATTCTTTTTATGACTTACCAGTTTTTGTATAACCCCACGGACAGGCACGAATCAGATACACATCAAATGTTAAAGGATACATATCCTTGCCAAGTACTCGCCTTTGACCTGTATTATATCATATGAATGTCAGTGTGCTGTTGCATGTCTGAGTACTTAATGTTATCTCATTCATACGTACACAGAGTGAAACACTTACTACTTAGGAAGTTGGTAGATTCACCATTTCTGTTTCACATCGCTCATCATTAGTTTTCACAAAAGAATAGCTAAAATAAATTTCTCCAGCTTAATTTGTGTTTGACTTCTTATTACCATTGTGTGTAAGATCCATTTTGAAGGTTTCGTGTGTGAAAATCCCTCCATGCATACATTTGCAACTTGTTCTTAATGGTTTCTTCCTTTGTACATTATTGTTAATCTTTTTGATGCCATTTGAGATTGTAATGTTTCATTTCATAAAAGTTTTAGCATTTTCTCTTTCGCCTTCACTGAATTTCTATGTTTCTTTCCGAACCGTATCTATATTGTTTTAGTTGATATTTAATCTTGGTGGCAGCCATATTGATTGTTCCCTCTTTGATTGTGTTGCTTGATTTGAATGGGATCGTGCATTTTGGTTGTGAATTGAAGCACATTCGCAGAATTGGAAACACCTTGTGTTATAAAGCAACAAACTATTATCTTTTGAACGGATCCTTACTTGACCTACCCAGAAAGGATAAAATAACACCCATTTTTTGGTGTGTTCAATCTATTATCGTGGGCACAATTATTGATTGAATAACTGAGTGGTAATATTTGTTTAGAACCGTTGTTTCCCCAATCACGTTGTTCTGATTTCGAATGGGATACACGGATCTCTTCTTCTACCAGACAGTTATTCTTCAGCCAATACCTAGTTTTGTTCTTATTCTGCGTCTTAAACGAAGTTAAGCCAAGAAAAATAAACGAAAGTAAGCGGAAAATCTATAATCATTCATCCACTAGTTTATGATAGAGTTTCATAACTGACCTAAGTCTCTCACCAGCATTATCCAACCAACATTCTCCTGGACAATCCCTTTCAGTTGTTCCCAAGTTCTATTTCTTTTCTTGATGTCTGCTTTCAATTTTTGGCGCAATGTGTTCTTTGGTCTTCATCCTTTACGTCCCTCCTTAGGATTCCAAATAAGAGCTTGCCTCGTAATGTGTGTCCTATCCACCTCAAACATCTTTTCCTAACTCCCTCTTCAGTTGGAATTTGGTTTGTCCTCTCCAACAGTATGTTGTTGCTCATGGTATCTGACTAACGGACACTGGGTATCTTACGAGGACAATTGTTTAGAAATACCTGTCCAATTTTGATGATGGTCGTAGTAGTTCTCGAAGTTTTGGAACTGTCTTGACGTTCATATTGAAGATTCCCACTTTGATGTTGGTTGATAGTTGTTTTGTGTTTCATATGTTCTTCAACTGTGGGAATGCGGCCCTTACTTTGTTAATCTTTACCTTTACGTTTGCATCACATCCACCTTTTTCATCGATGATGCTTTGCAGGTACGTGAAACTTTCCACCCCTTCCGGAGTTTCTCCATCAAGTGTAATTGGGATGGTGTTCTCTGTATTGTATTTGAGGATCTGGGTTTTTTCCTTGTGTATGCTGAGGCCTACTGGTGCAAAGGCTTCTGCTTTGGGATGGTCTGCTAAAGAGCTCCTAGAGTTTTCCTACCCATCTTTTTCTCTGAACTCGAATCTCAGTGATTGACCCGCCTTCTTTGCCCTTGACTGGTTGTTATGGTCTGTTTTATTTCATTGCTAGTTCTTTCGAATAAAAACAGGGAGAATCCTTCGAAAAGAATTTCCTTTCCGACGAAATCATTTACTTAAGCTGTACATCTGTATTTATAGTTGTATGGTAAATGTACGTCTGTAGAAGAATTTGATTTGGTTTGTGTAGTAGGGACAGATTGCCTATGGCCCTTGTTATTTCTTCTCTAGTATGTTACTTTGAGTGTCTAATCTCCTAATGTAATAGTCAATTGAAGGAGCGGACATCACTACTTCGCGTAACATGTTCCAATAATTGATGACTCGATGTGAAAACCTGTATGCCACTGGTATTTTGTTCGTTCTTGGCCTTTCTCTTCGCTAGGTATGTCCTCTGAGTTGTACCAATCTTTTAGGAAGAAACGTGTGGGATATATTAAGTCCAAAATTATTTCTCAATGTTCTATAAATCAGAATCAGATCATCTCTTAATACGCGATAGGACAGAGTAAAGAGGTCTGGCTTTTCAAGCTACCCTTTTTATGGTAGACCCCAGAGTTATGGGACTGCATTGATAGCTACCCTCTGCACTTTTGCTGGGATGTCCGAATCACTTTTTAAATAGAAGCTTACAGCCTCGATGCAGTTTTCAAGCTTAGTTTTCAGTAGAGTTGTGTGTACTGAAGTGAACATACTAGCATTTAAATATGTGAACGTTCGTCTTACAGCTTATAGGGTTCCAAACGCCTTGACTGCAACCTCCCGGCAGTGGGTCGTGGTCTTAAGATCATGACTTACTGTCACTCCAAGATCCGTATGAGACTTGACCATGGGTACGAGCACTTTCCCTATGCCATGCCAATTTACATTCGTATCCCCAAAGTGCATGTAGACATGCTTGGCCTCTTTGATAGGCACGAGCCATTTTTAGACCGGCTAATAAGCATAGTGGCGAATTTCACCCAATTGATTGCTCATTCGTGATATGTAGTGTCACGATTCGGTCTGCGTACGACCGATATTAATGAAACCATCCCATTGATCTCGAAGTTAGGCTGAATCTTTCATTGGGTTCAGCAATACTGTGTTGAAAATATTTCTCGGTAATGACAGCAGTGTGACACCTCCGTCGTTCCAACACTCACTCAGATCTCCTTTCCTCGGTATCTTGATGAAATATCCATCTTTTCAGATTGTTGGCAAGCACTGTTCCTCCCAAATCTTAGTGAACACAATGTGGATTGTCGAATCTGCATGCGGTAGTATTTATTTTTATTTTTCATCACCGCTTGCTCACAACACAGAACGAGAGGAAAAAGCATTTTGCAGGCTTTTGTTTGAGATATTAACCAAAAACGAAGTATAACTCTATGTATGATTGTAAATTTAGGTTAAGAATCCATTTTTGGTTTACTGCCTAGTAGTTTTGGCTTATTATTAGAAAAATAGTATGAGCATTTAAATTGATAACTGGAACTTGGGGATGGAAATAATCCCATCGTTTAATAGAATCTGACTAGCCAATTATCACGTGTTTTGAAATTGACAACTCCAATGACTAGTTTACTAGCGCGTGGTTTGTAAAAGCGCGAACTTAGGTATGTCTGGTGTTGCGCGTTAAACTATGTTCTCCTAGTTTCGATCCCAAGACTCATAATCTGAGGCATATATTGTTCCCAATTGTTTTTTATTTTTTCGCTTGGTAAACGTTTGTGCACCGTGTGCGCCTTCTGGGTTGTCGGCTCACCTTTTCTTTTTGTACTTTTCTCTAGTCCTCATTCACGTTACTTTGTATGATCCCCTAGTGCACAAAATGCTTTCTAAATAGACGCAAACTGCTACGTTAATGTGTTTTGATGTTATTTTTTATCGACCTATGAGGAACATGTCTATGATCAGCTTTCTCTCGGTACGCAAATTGAGTGTCTGGAATAGCTGACTTTTGTTTCGTGTTAATGCAGAGCGGAGTGTTTTATTCTACTCACCTGCAATTTGTATGAGACAAGAAATCGATAGTCTGCGCTATTTTGCTCGAGGCCAATGTTTTAATATTTGACCTATTCTACAAGCCTATTGTGCTAGCTATATTAAGGCAGGCGATTCGGCGTGTTCCCGTGTTTAAATTAGACAGTTTTGCATATATTTCGCCGAAAAGTAATGAAATTTCAAACCTGAATTTATAAAAGGATGAATTTCGCACTATTTTCCCATAGCAGGCGAAAACGAGACATTTCGACGCGTACTCCTCTTATTTCCTTTTTTCCAGTTGCTTGGGGTATATAAGGAAAAATTTTGGAAGTTTCTTAATGGTCTTCAAACCCTGTTATATTGGGTTCTAAATTAAACTGTACTTCAGTCATAGCATGCGAATCATAAATCAATCTAACCTGTCTAATTTTTACGATTGTTACCGTCTTGCTATGATTATTCGTCTCGTATTGATGTTAGTTTAGTTCATTTGTCTAAATGACTATAGTTTTTTCACAATTTGTTTATTTTAGCAAGATGTCTACGAATGGAACTGATGATGGTCCTTTAGAAGTAAGTGTGGAGTGGATTACTTTTTGATATTCGGCAGTGAAATTTATTATATTTAACTCGTATATTAGTACGTTGATTTTTCGGTCTAGCACTCGCTGTCGTATTAACAAAATAACAGCGCCTTACAATGTTCTGTGTTGACTGGCGCGTAAACCAGAAGACAACATAATGTTATTGGCTATGGGTCTGGCCCATGTTAGTAGTTGCAGAGTATTTAGTAGGAGTTCGGGCGATTACTGTGACTAGTCATCGCTAGTAACATCGCTTAGAATGGGACCCAAAGGTATAGATACTTTTATTTTTTTAACTACCCTTAAATCCCCAGTTTCAAAACCATTCTATGCTTTTTGTTGCTCGAATTGATCCTTCTTTTTCCCGAATATCCTATGCAGCTAGTCTTTTTACTACCAGTAATACTACTTCCGTAATCCTAGTATTTGTCTTATTTTGATGATGTGACGTGGCAACTTTAACCGGTGCTCATATGTGCCAGATTATTTTTTGTTGCTGACTGACCGATATCTCTACCTCAAGTCTAGTTCTAACAGCCTAGTCCAGCTGCATTGTCTCGATATTAGTTACTTGGATGTTATGTATTCACACTGCATGTAAGTGCTGCGTAACGCAGTTGATAAAGTGTATTTAAACACGTATATTATACATCGTTTTTCAGCTTAATACATTTTCAATTGAATCAAAGTCATCACCGTTATTCCTGTCAGTGAAATGTGTTCTGAGTCGTCTTCACAACAGTGAGGTATTATAGTATGCCTATCGTACCAATAGACATGGGTTTAAAATACTGAGAAAACGTTAGTATTTTTGTATGTATTCCTTCTTGATAAGCATTAGCGACCAAAAAATATTTTCTATAGATTTTTTCAACGAATCCCCGTAACCTTTCGATCAATATTATTTTTATATTTAAGCAAACATTGGCACGAGGAGGCACCAAATATATATACGCCATACTTCGTCATTCGGTTTGTATGATGGATGCAATACTACCCGCGTGCCCAAACCTAAGCAGGTAATTTTCTCAGGGGGCCACCCCCCGAACCATTTACCTAGAGGTCTGATCCACAGAGCAGTGAAGCAGCGTTAGGAGATGTGGTCCTATGGTAGCCAGTATTATTTATTTATTTAAACATAAATAATGGTACAAAGGGGCACCAGATATATATATATATATATATATATATATATATATATAGCTCTTCTAGAGTTACTGCCGGTCCCAAGCCCAGGTAAAGGAGGAGGGTTGGGCATGGGATCATGGGTCATCAATGTACATCCCACTACATATGCACCAGTCGTAGTCGCTAGACTTCCCACTAATCCAGAGAAGAGTTGACTAGGTGTGAAATGCAGGGTGAGGCACAACATGAAAAATAAGGTTTCAAAAAGGTAATTGCAATCAACCAATAAAAAGCACGAAGTGACATTAAACCCAAAACCTAATCATTGTTTTTTCTCAGATAATACTCTTCATTACCACATTTTATTACTGCCAATGATGTCACTACTTCTGTAATTTAAGCATTCATCTCATTGTGGTGGTATGGCAACGGAAGCTGATACACATGTAGTGGTTCTACACTGCTTATTAGTGACTGCGTAACAGGTAAACTTTGAAGCTTCTGGTGCTCATATCTCATAAATCAATTTGGACATTAACTGAGTTAACACAAAACGTATCCTCACTTTTTTAGCTTATGAAAGCATCCATTAACATGAACCAATAACTGCTAACCTCTGTACTTAAAACTCTACATTTATTCCCGAGATACCTTCCTAGTTGGTCGTTTGACTAAGCCTAACTATTACTTTGAATATACTCCTGAATAAGAATCTCTATCGTTGACATCGGTTCAGTCAGTCAGCTACAACGTAGGACCAGGCACATATATGCATCGGTCCAAGTTGCCATACCTCTTTAGCACAACAAGATGAACACCGGATTCATAGAAGCAATTAATTTAGTGATGGTAGTATATAAAGAAAGATTGTATAGAAGGATATCGTACAGGAAGGAAGAGAGATATGAAGCAATTTTAATCTCAAGGTTTAAGGGAAGATAAAGAGTGTATACACCTACGCCATTGTGATCGATTCTGAGCCATGTCACCTAGAGTCTCCAACCATTTATTACGATAGTCACGCGGACCCCAACCAGGTAGTCTGCATCTGCCAACATGGCTCAGGCTAGAAGTTAGTGACTTCAAACACTGATGCCATGTTTTGGTTTGGCCGCCCCTAACTCTCTTCCAACCGTCCCCAATACTAGTCATCATAGCGCGTCGTGGTAATCGGTGTTCAGGCATACGTAACACATGGCCCAACCATCTCAGTCGATGAAGATTTATCACCTCATCAACTGATTTACCATCGTTACCTAATACCCTGCGTCTAACCTCACTATTACTTACTCGGTGATCCCAGCAGATGCGAGCAATATTTCTAAGGCATCTGTGGTCAAATACTAGTAACCTACGAGTATCTTCTACTCTTAATGGCCATGTTTCGCAGCCGTAAAGTAGAACAGAGCGAACTGCTGCGCCGTATACTCGTCCCTTAATTGATAGACGGATATCTCGTCTTCGCCATAGGTGACGTAAGTTGGCAAAAGCCAAACGAGCTTTTTGAATCCGTGCTGAGATTTCGTCAGACACCAACCCATTAGGGCTGATCAGACTTCCAAGATAAGTGAAGTTGTCAACGCGTTCGACTACTTCACTCCCTATCCTTAGTTCGAGTGTTGACGCAGGCCAGTCCTGGAGTAACAATTTACATTTGGATGGGGAGAAACGCATCCCAAACATCCTGGCATTATTACTCAGTTCCAACAGAAGACTCTGCATTTTGTCAGCGTCTTCACCAAACAGGACTATGTCATCTGCGTATTCTAAGTCGCTTAGTGGTCCCCCTGGTAGGAGATCAATTCCTGTAAACTCAGTCGAAGAGAGTGTTATTTCCAGCAACAGGTCTATAATGAAGTTAAACAAAAATGGGGATAGTGGACAGCCTTGACGGACACCACTTGAGGTTGTAAAATCATATGACAGTTCGCCATAAGCTCTCACTCGACTGATAGTGTTCGAGTAAAGAGCCTTCACAAGGTTTATGTACTTCTCAGGTACACCTTTCAATGACAGACACTGCCACAGAACCTCTCGGTCTACAGAGTCAAATGCTGCTTTCAAGTCAAGAAAAACTATCATTGTCGGACGCCGATAAGCATGTCTGTGCTCTAAAACTTGACGAATGGTGAATATGTGGTCGATACAGCCACGACCAGGTCTGAAGCCAGCCTGATTTTCTCGTGTTTGCAGTTCACGAGTTTTAGCTAGGCGCCTGATAATTATTGAGGCTAGTATTTTAGATACTATGTTAGTCAGACTAATCCCTCTATGGTTATCGCAGGATGATTTTGACCCCTTTTTATATATTGACATCGGTTACAATTATAGTGACTCTCACAACTTCAAAGTGGTGTCGGTCAATACATACACCTTCCAGTATGTATTTACATATTTCCTCTGTAACAAAATCTATGTAAGTTTGCTTAGTATATCTCAATTTAGGTTTCGTAAACTAGCACTCATTAAAAAAGGTCCCCGTGATCAATAGCCTTGTCATATATATATATATATATATATATATATATATATATATATATATATATATATATATGACTAAATTAAATTCCATGCAATATACACCCTGTGTTGTGCATTCCTTGTATGATTATTGTCCTTAATGTGTCTTAAAGTTAAACATTACCATTGCTATATATATATATATATATATATATATATATATATATATATATATATATATATATATATATATATATATATATATATATTACTAATGACAATGCTTAACTTAAAGATATCTAAATTGAGTTCAATGTTAGTTCACATCACCTTGATGATTAGTTTTTTCTTTAATATGATTTATGTAGTGTGTTTGGAATTCCAGTCAAAAGTATGGTTTAGTTTGGCAATTAACTCCAACTGTTTCATGCAACTTTATAATATTTTATTTGTTTGAGCTGATTAACTGTTTTGCTGGCTTAATTGTTAAATAAATTAAAAACCATAAGAGGAATTTAGGGTTTTGATCATACTTTCTATATGTAATAGTAATGTATTGTTCGTACTATTCTACTAATAAGCGTTCTACTCAAACATTGAGTCATGTTTGTGAGTGTAGACTTCTCTTGTAGATTCTGGGGGTCAGTCAGTCACAACGTAGAACTTTGTACGTACGTACATCAGTTCGAGTTGCCATACCACATTAGCACAGAGATGCAGCTGTCGATTCAAATCCCATAGTGGTAGAAGTAGTAAGAGTATAAGCAGTAATCCGAAAGATTAGGGTTTGAAGATGTTATTAAAGGAGTATAATACAGTGAAATAAATTTGGAAAGAGAAAAAGGATACAGACAAGAAGAATTCAGATTAGAATTTGGTAGAACACAAAGAGTGGATGCACCTTCGCCATTGCAAACGATTTTGAGCCATGTCATTCAAGGTCTCTAACCATCGATTGCTATCATCTCGCGAATCCCAACCAGGTAGTCTACACCTATCAACATGGCTCAGTCCAATTGTCAATGACTTCATGGATTTGTGCCACATTTTGTTCTGGCCTCTATCAACTTTCTTCCAACCTGCTCCTACACCATAAAACATTTCACGTCGAGGCAGTCGGTGGTTGGGCATATGTAACACGTGTCTCAGCCATCTGAACTGATGAAGTTTCACTACTTCATCAATCGATTTACCATCCTTACCTAGTACCCGTTTCCTAACAACTGCATCACTTACTCGGTGGTCCCAGGATATACGAGCAATGCCGGGGGTAGGGTATTTGTAATCTATGTTTAAAGGCATTGGATTTTATGGCCTAGAGTTGGTGAAAATGTTTAGGTTGTACTCATTCTTTATCGTCTTCTAAGTCTTAAAATAAATATTGTCGTATCGTCCTTCTTG